TAAACCCCCCCCCCCCGCGGGGGGGGCCCGCGCTGGGGCAGCGGCTGAGGCTGCGGCTGGGGAAGCGTCGGGTGTTGCCCTCCTCTCCGGGGGAGGGAAACCTGCCTCGAAGACGCCGTTTGAAAGCCCTGAGTGGGCTTTAGCTGGGCCCCCTGAGGAGAAGGGTGCCCTGGAGGGGGGGAAAAAAAAACCAAAACAAAACGAAATCAGGTTTTTATTCCAGCTTGGTTTGCCTCTCTCACACCCAGATCTACAAAGACAGATAGGAAACATCCGTTTAGAGAAGGAATATGGTGGTACTAGACTGACTGGGAAATGCGAGCGTGTCTGCAGAGAGACGCCCCTGTGTAGCTAGCTTGGGTTTTCAACAGTTCGCCTGTGGAGCCTGTGTTCACGCGGTGCCACCCTCCCAAAATGAGCCGCTCCTCAGGAGCGAGGGGAGAGCTGAGCGGATGAGCATCGGGCTGCCGGCCACGTACGTGTTGGTTCTTGACTGGGTGACGCTTTCGGGATTCCCAGTGTTAGGCCGCAGAGATAAAACATGAATGTAAAAGTCGGAAAATATAAAGGTCTCAGTTGTCAGGGTTCGATGGTTTTGTTTTGTTTTCAAACTGGGCTTCACTTACTGGCTGCGGCCATTGTAAGGTCAAAGCACTGTATGATGTACCTCATTAATAAGATCAGAGTGAAGAGGGAGGGGGTAATTTCCATTGAAAATGAGATTTTAAGGTTTTTTTTTTTTTTTTGAACCTGCTCTTCCAAGGAAACGAGCAGCATGTGATTGCAGTTCACTCTATCTGCTTTGAGCTACGTTCAACCCTGAACCAACAACACTGCATTGCTCTGGGCAATTTCATTCAGATTTGACAGGGGCTAGAGGTTTCACAAATAATTATATTCCTACAGTGTCATGAAAGTAGACATCTTGTTGTGATTTGGAAGTGCCCTAGTAGAGAGGAAGGCTGCACTGCAAGCATGCAGAGACAAGGCACCTTGTAAATGCTGCAGCTGTGCAAAAAGTTTCCGTTGGGGCCTGCAGTTTGTGATGAGATGTAAGCCAGTAGGAGACCAGGCTTCTGGTGCTGATGAACTTGTTTAATAAGATGCACAAAACACAAGGGTGAGTGCATGCTTAATTTTGAAACCCAGTTACAATAATGGGCAAAATACCAAAGTGTTTGCTTTATGTGTGTAAATACGTGTAGTCTGTGTAATCACCTGTTGTGTTGTGAAAATTAGCTATTCAGTTATACCCAAATTCTACGTTTAACTTAAATTGTCCTTAATTATAGGAAAATTTGGTAACAATATTTACATTCTATTAAATGACTAGTTAAATAACTTCTCTTGAAAAACCTTTTGGCTTTTAAATTTTAGCGTGATGGTGGCTGACCACTCTGTAGTGTCAAATTATCAGTCTCCTCTTAACTTACTGATGTTTTTTGTTTTATATGCCTGTTTAAAATATAATTCTTAAAGCCTATCACTGCACCTCACCATGAAGAACACTTCTGATGTTTCATAGAGGTATTTGGACTTTTGGGGGTTTGTTCTTCAATTAAAGTGTTAGTAGCCTGGATTATTAGAAACAAAAAACTTATGCCTGGTTTTACATCATTCATTATTTAGATATGGCTCCTGACTCAGCTGTTGGCGAAGTATCGGTATCTGGCTTCACTCTCTCCTTCTACTGACTTTTCTTTTGTTTTGGCACCCAGGCTAAGCCCTTATACCACAGGCACTGGGAGAGAGAATTTGGTTATTTTCAATAGTATTAACTGGAATATTCTTTTAATTTTTATGAAACTTCTTTTTATTGCATCTTTTAAAAAGCCTATTTTATAGCCAGACTTTCAAATACCAGTGCTAAACTGCAGAGTTTGAGGGTGTCTTTGATGGGTTACTGATGTGTTTAGTACATATCAACTAATAATAATTACGGGCTAGTTTTCAGTTTGTCCCTCCTTTCTTCTCCTCTTTTATGTTATTCTATTACAGCGTAAAAAGTGCTTCCTTAGAAAGCTATCACTGTCCTACCAACTGTGCTCAGCACCATGATTAGGAAGACCAGTTGATGTTGCAAACTGAAATTAATTTTTGGTTTTCCTGTTGATGGCCTGGGGAGGAGCATGAGCTGCTTTTCCTTTCAAGACAATCAACTCTGTCCTTAAGGGTCAGGGTTTCGTTCCCAACATTTTGAGGGACATCAAGCCCCATAGCCATTGTGAATACTCCGTATCATCCTCTTCAGAATACAGTGGACTTGTGCTGGCTGAAACGTAGCAGGTCTGAGATCTGTAACCTTTCTTCTCTCTTACTCTAGCAATCAGCTCACCGTGCCGGTCTCAGGAGCTTCATCCGCTATGGCTGGCGCTGGAGTTGGAGAGTAGCTGCTTTTGTGGCGATATTTAAGTAAGTGTTTCCTATTGGCAATGGGAGAGGAACTGGCTTACTCGTTAGTGGGAAGGTGCCCCTAGTGCATGCTCTGCTTGTAGTTGCTGCTTCTTAAGAGACTGCTAGCGTCTGCTGCTTCTTAAGAGACTGCTAGCGTTTGATGGAGGCTCAAAATGTGTTAACAATGAGTCTGATGGATAAGGTGTAAACATGAAAAGGATTTAACCTTTTCTATTTACCTCAGAATTCAAATCTTCCAACAAACTAACCCATAAATTAAAGCTGGAAAAGCCCTGTTGGTTACACCTAATCCATACCATTATTGACTTGTATAGGGTTCTTCCCTGTACTTAGCAGCTTCTTTCTGCTTTACTTAATCTCTTTTGTTTGATGTATTTTGCAGTTTTCCCTGGGAGAAAGTTCCAGGCCGTTGTCTATTCAAGAATGGCTTTCTATCCTATACTAATTTTTCTCCTTTTTGTTATTTCTCGCTATTTCTAGTTTGTATACACAAGCATTACTTGAATCATCCGCAAATATTTGGAAGACAAAGATTGCATCTTGTTAAGCAGTCTTTGGTCATTAGACCTACCAGCTGTGCATTAAAATTTTCCTACACAAATAACGCACACATAATGTTCTACTTCTCTAATTTTCTTCCTCAGACATGTCAGTATATTTCTGACAATATAGCATCAAGCTAAGCATACTCTTCCACATAAAGCCCTTGTAAACCAGGAATATCTCTGTCCTTGACCTTCAACATGATAAATTTATATGTAGTCCAGAACGTGTACGGAATATAGCTGCAGCCGTATTGTCTTTAAATCCTCATTTTGTTTGTACGATGTAGGCAGTATTGACTAACATTATTTCCCAGTTGCAGCTAATTTCATATTTCTGCCTCTCTTCATAATTTTTATGTTCCTTTCTGTGATTTTTACTTGGTCTCAGTAGTTTTTTAGCTACTCTTGATTTGGTATATTTTTTTAGGCTTAACTGGCATGCTGTTTACTTTCACTGTCAGAACTTTTGATTACTTTAAATTTTTCTGGACTTGATGCGTAACTTCATCATCTTCCACCAGATGTCTCCCCTGCAATCAAATGCGTTGTCCTTTTTCATTACACCTTTGTACAAGCCTTTGAAAGAAAATATTTGCCGCTCAGTTTAATTGCTAGTGTAAAATCCAGTTGGAAGATTGAGTTCTCCATTTGGGCTAATTTTGAGTTTGGCAATTTAAAACCGAGTTGTTAGTCTTACCTTGTACAAAAAGCTGGGTTGACATTACAGCGTTGGAAAGGACAAGAGGATTGCTGTTGACTTGTAGATGTTGTGTAGGAGGCTTATTAAGCTGGTGGGGAGGAGGTAACTACTGGACTGAGTAGAGACAGGCGTTTTGGGCTTCCCATTACGTTTTTGGGGGAGATGATGTACCCACCCTGGCAGAAAATCTCATGCCTCAAGAGCAGATGACCCTGCTGACATCATTAGTCTGACTTAGCTCTGGTGGTAGACACTGTGTATGTCAGCCAAGCTCTTAGAGACACAAATTCCTCTCCTGTGGGGTGAAGGTGCTGTGTGAGGACAGACTGATAGGACCTTTTGGTTGACCACTTGGTATCATCCTTGAATATATGATGGAAAGAAATCTTTGATTTAAGCACAAAATAGAATTATCTCAAATCCAAGCCTAGGATCGTCATATTCCCCTGCCTCTGGCTGAACGGCTGCATGCAGTAAAGTTACTAAAATCAAAGCATTTGTGGCTGGTATGCGTGTGCTCTAGACTGACTGGCAACAGGGCAGTTGGAGGCAACCTGATGGTTGACTTACTGAAATCCAGTTTTATTGCAGGACGTGCTTTGCTACCTGTCGTCTTCATGTGTAACTGCTGATTTCTTTTGTGCTTTATCCTTGCAGCACAGTGAGCACTGGTCTGTCTGTGTACCGCAATAAAACCACCATCAGTAATTTTGCTGCAGCAGGAGGTAAGATTGCTTTATTTTTGTGTACTTTCCTGCTTCTGAGTAAGGGAGGTACTGTCTTGGATCTGAGCAGGGCTCTAGCTGTCTATGCTTCTGGGTTTTGCTTCTTGTTCTACTGACTGACTTTGTAACCTTGCTCGCTTGTTTAACAGCTGTGTGCCTTTGTTTGTAATAGAGAGAGATCAATGCATTTTTGAAATCATAGGGTAGTTTTATGGTTATTTTTCTTATTTCTGCTCTTTATAACAGTTCAATATGCTGCTTAAACTATCCTTTTCATGCGAAGCTTTACATGTCTGCTCTTGGCAATAGGGTTCTTGGTAAGGGATCTGTTTGTTCCATTTTTACAGGCTTTATTGCCATTATAGTTGGATACGCATTTTAATGTTGTTTTCTGCCTTACGGTGCAGCTACTATTGTTGGCTGCCGTTTAAAAGAAGAAAAGGGAACCATACTACAGCCAGAAGAGAACTCAGTTTTCCTTTTGTAGATACATTTATGTTTTAGCATTTCTTGGGGAGCCTTTCCGAAACAGGAGAATTTATGCCATGTTTTAATGCAGAGAACATGTGGATTAAGTCCTGTTGGAAGCATTGCAATATCAGCTCATCGCTGGTTGTTGAAGTGCCTGCCTCTTGAGCTAGTGTGACTGTATGACCGGGGTCCCTCCCTGCTGGACACAGTGCTTGGTTTCTACTCTGTTAAATATGGACATTAGCCTGTGGAAAGGAGAAATGGGGCAAAGCAGCTCCCTCAGCGTGCATGTGATGGCTGTTGTGCGGGTAGTTTGTGGTTTGAGCATGTTTGTTTTCTGTAGCCTTCACAGGAGCCCTCTTCAGAATACACTTGGGCCTGCACGGGCTGGCAGGCGGCAGCGTGTTTGGAATAGTGTTTGGGTAAGTTGCGACTGCTGCCTGTGAGTGACTGACTCACAGTTATTCTCTAATGGAATGTGTTGGATAGTGGCCTCCCCCGCCAAGCCTTGAATCGTAGGTGGGGCTACAGAAGCTTCCCTTCCTTTCCCCTCTTGCCCTGAAGGTTTTCTCTTTCTTTCCTGGGGCCTCATTATGCTTTTTCTCCCAACCTTCTAACTCTTTTTTCCCTTCCGCTTCTCGATTTGTATTTTGTTGTTTCGTCAGTGACAGGGACTCGCTGCTCTCAGTAGAGCTTCTTACTGCTCTTTGCATATTGGAGGAGGCACTGACTAAATTGGGAATTTGTCCATGAGGATGGGTCATAGATGTGTTTTCTGTTCCCCTCTCTCAGTGCGGTCACTAATCATCCCTTTGGTTGTGTGCAGAAGAGTCTGGCATCTGTTCTAAGAAGCTATGTTGTCTGGGGGTGAAGGCAGGAGTTTAAGAGCTACAGCTTCTGGACTCCCTTTTCAGCTTCATCAGTGACGGCTCCTGTAACAGTTCAGAATCCAGACCTTGATCCACAAGGAGTGTTGGGTGTCATAATCGCAACTTCTAAACAACAGGGCAACCCATGAGCTGTCAGCCCCTAGGTTAGGAACCTGTATAAACATGAAGTATGTACAGAATGGGATCCATAAAAGCCAGAACGTGGAGCAGCAGCCATTAGGAAATGCTGAGGAAGAAGCTGTGTGTTTGGGCCTGCCTCTGTCAAGGCTATAAGATGGTTCATCTCTTCAAGTAGATTTTGCAGTCCTGCATCTTCTAAAGCTCCCTGGGAGATGGGGGAACCCATACTTGTTGTTTGGGGGCTCTGTCTGTCAGGACAGTGACCTGTTCGCTCAGGAGAAATCTGACTTTTCAAGCAGAGCTGGGAGTTCTTCTCCAAGTCCAGATCCGTGGATATCCTCACAAATTAATTTGGGGATCATGTCTAGACAGACGAAAGACTTGCTTAGCGCTATGAGGATGGAGTCAGCTGTGGATGTGCCCAGAAATAGCCTAGGGAGCTTTTTCAGTGAAAACACAGGTACCTCTAGAAGTTGAACAGAAGCTAAGCAGGGGTTTGGCTGTCTAAGTCATGGGTTAGGTTATGCCCAAAATTGGTTTGGGCATCGTGAGTCCTTCTGGCCCTTGCCCTCTGCATGCTTGTTGGTGAGTAACTTCAAAATGTGTCATACAAAAGGGACTGCAGTGAGTCACAGCTGATGATAGGCTGTGTTTGGTGACTTGCTAGAATAGGAGCACCTTAGTCTATAGCGTGATGTGAGTATTGGGGAATGTTATGCACCACTGGTCTGGTGGCTGGCCCCCACACGCTCCTTTTGCTCTTGCCAGTAAGTTATTACTATTACATGTCCCTTGGGTGACTTCTGACTTTTCTGCTTCCTCCTCTAGAATCCCTGCGGGGGGCCTCTTAATGGTAATGCAGAAACTTGCTGGTGAGACCTTGCAGGAGAAGAGGAATCGTGAGCGGAGGGAGCTGTATGAACAGAAGTTAGCAGAGTGGTAAGGAACAGCATTCACTTCTTTGACTGGAAGTGTGTCTAGGTCTGTGCAGTACAAACATTTAAAGAAACCCTCATGCAATAGGTCTTCTTAGCCTCAGTTCCTCTCCTCTTTAGTTTTCTGTGTGTTTCACATACCAGACTCTAAACTGCTGATTTAGTCTTCCTATTGTTAGATGCTGCTGCTTATTTTGTAGAAAGTTGTGTTTTGTTTGAAGTGTGTGGCTTCCCCCTTTGTAACTGTGCCTCCATCTTTCACTTCTGTAGTGGCTGAGAAGATAAGCAAGAGAGGTGAATTTGCTTTAAAGCACATTTGTATTTCTTTACCAAAATTGAGAGAGAGACCAGAACTCTCGCTTTTCCTTCACTGCTGCTTTCTTGCCATCCCTGTTGAGGAGAGGGAAGCTGGAGGCTTTGGGGAGAAAGGGCTATGATGCTGGCTGCATGACTCATAAAAACTCACAAATAGTACCAGTTCTAGAAGAAATCTTTAAAGAGTTAAGGCGCTGTAGTGATATCTTTGTCAAGAGGATGCAGACATAAAGTTGCTTTGCATTTTCTTCCCCCTTAGGCAATCCAGACTCGATGTCACTGAAGTCTTGGGCCAAACAGAAGGCAATGCTCAGGGGGGACCATGGAGAGAGAGATAGCGAGAGAATCCTGGAGCTGCTAAAGTCTTCCTCAAATCTCTGTCACAAGCAGCTATGAAGTATTTTGATTCTGCCCATTAAAAACTCTTCAGTCAAGGGGTCAAGGAAGTATTCTGTGAGCTGAGGTATATCCTTTACACTTCTGAAAGAGCAATTTGATGAAAACATTGTTCATGAATATGTATCACAGCACAAGAGCTTGTAAGGGGCTAACCAGTTCTGCTTGAGAAGGTGGAAATGCAGGCTCTGCAGAATAGCAAGTGTCAGCTAGGTTTGCTTGGGAGGGAGGGTAGCTCCAGAATCTCTGGCAGAACCCATTTCACGTCTGAAAATGTCTAAGCCACCTGTAATGTAGAAATAGTCAAGGAAAAAGAGCTTATTAATAGTTTGGCTGCTAAAGATACCCTGATTCTAAAAGGGTATTCTAACTTAATTGTGGTGAAGCTGCTCTTCAGATGGCAGCTGGAGACTTTACTGTCCAAGCACAACACAGGCAGCACTAGTACTAGTCTTTTCTCCCCCTTCCGCGGTTTGACTTGCCTGGGTGGGACTGACTGTTTTGCTGATTGTGGTTTCTTCAGGCTTTTTTGCAGAAAAACATGCTTGGTTCCTAGGGTAAATAAAGTATTTTGCAATCAATGTTGAGGAAGGGTGGAGGAGTGGGAATGATATGGAAATACCCTGAAAAAGACATATTTTGGCTTCCTTTGTAGAAGTATGACTGAGGAGACCACAGCAAAGATGACGGTTTCTGGTGGTGATGGTGGAAGGATTGATACCGTAGGCAGTTCTAATAACAATAAAAAGTCCTCTAATTTCATTTAACGGTCAGAGATTAGGGGATTATCTCTGGGGGAAATGTGGTTCAAGACACTAAATAAAGCTATCTCATAGTGGTGATTGTCTCCATAATATCCTTATGCTTAGTTTGTACGGTATTTGCATTAGAGAAAGGTACCTGAATGATGTCTCATGAGAAGAGCCATACCTGAGATCCCACCAGGGAGCAATTAAGTCTGGTTGCAGCATCAGGCTCTCCTTTAGAGACAGTAACAAGGACAAGAGTCAGGAGAGTGCCAGTTGCATTTATTATTGGCACCAGTGATCGTCTGCTAAGTCATGGTTGTTGCCCATGAGCAGGGCTGAAGTTAATTTCATAACGGCCTGTACCTAGAAGGGCCAGGTGGCCCATTGCCATTTTCCTCAAAGCAGAAGACCAGAATTCTGGTCCCTTGTGTTTGTTGGGGAGGTTTAGCCTATTAAAGAGAATTGTATCTGGGCAGGGGGTTCTGGTCTCCTTCCCACAAGTAAAGAGTAGTTACTCTGCTCTGTTTGAATGCTGTTCCTCCATTACAGTTGATAGCTGTTGATTGAAATATGAGCAGTTGATTCCACAGAACACATTCCACCCAAAGCAGATTTTTGGCACAGCTTGCTTCTGAGAAGGTGCTGTGTTTTCTAACTTCTGAACTGAGCATTTTATTTACTAATCACCTCAGTATAGGTCTTTTTTCCATAAAAGAAACACATTCTGGATTTTTTCTTCAACATTGATTTTCCTTCTCTAGGAACAAGTAAAGGATCTGAATAAGGAGAACTGTGGTAGGTCTCACACTCTTCCATATTTTCAACTCTGCATGTTCTGGTGGCAGTAGTATGATTACCCTCTGCCCCTTCAAACACTATCAGAACAGTAGGCCTTTCCAAGTCATATTTCTTTGCTAGCGTAGTTATACGGTAATGTTTTACCTTTTATGATCACTTTTTTTTGCTCTTGCATTCCTACTCTTATAATTTTCTCTCTGTAGCAGTTTTGATGACGTTTAGCTGTCATTGCTCCCTCTTCCTCTTTAGCGGCCATTTGGTGTGATGACTAAAGAATACCAATTCTCCTGTGTCTGTGACCATTGATACGAGGATGTTCTTCCTTGGGAGACTAGTCAGAGCTAAGCTAGCAGGTGGGATTTCCTCTCCGTGTGAGGAAAGGAGGGAGTGCTAGATGTCCTTATGCTACACACTAGCAAGGGGAAGCAGAGACTTAATCTGCGTTCAGCTCAAGATTAGCAGCCATTTTTTGCTTTGTTTCCTGCTAAGTTAGCTCCCTGCACTTCCTCATTTCTTGTAATTGAAGCCACTGTCCAAAATGGGATGTGAAGAATTGGTTCAGAGCTTATTTTTAAATCCAAATGTTCCTTCCAGGAAAAGGCACCATGATGAAGTTATCAGTCAGCTACCCTGACAGTGGAGAACACAGATAGGAGGGATACAGCAAGAATATCTTACACTGGATTTTATTTTTGCAGAGAAGACTCCCTTTTGGGGAGGGAGAAGAAAGACCTGTTGCAGGCTCTATGTCTACCAGCATAGCTATGATGCTCAGTTAATCCCCAACAGACTGACAAAAATGAGGTATGTTGAATTTACAAGTCAGGAACTCGAATGCCATTTTGTCATTGCTGTTGAGCACACCAGACAAGGCTGGATCTTGAGACCAGCTCTAGCTACTGTAACACAGTTTTGTTAGCCAGCTCTATCACCTACCTTGATGTGAGACAGTCTATATTTTTTAGTGACGGTGAAATGGTAGCTGGGGCTCATTTGAATAATTGAGAGGCTGTACCACTTCCCAGCACTTAGAACAGATGTCTTTTATTACTGAGGAAAGGAAACAAAGTTTACTATTTAACTTTCAATACAATTGAAGGAGAAACACCAGGAAAAATGTTATATACAAAATACTTGCAATACACTGAGAGCAGCTCATGTGGTACAAAGACCCAGATATCAAGCTGGAAAGGTCTCATGGAAACCATTTGTGTGCAATTCACTGAAAATAGCATAAGGTAATGGAAAACATGATTCAAGGTACAAGTGCTTAAGGAAAAAAAAAAAAAAAGCAAAAAACCAAAAACCAACCTGCCCACCAGGTATATAAAAACAAATTGATGTTAGACATACTTGTCAGTGTGAAATTGTTGGTTTACTTTAGAAGGAGTTATTTACAGCGTCACAGGAGTTGCTGGTGCTGTGGAAAGGTTTGGCAGCGTGCAGAAGACAAACCTTTCTCTAGAAGTTGGTGCAGCTGTCAGTCAGGAAGTCAAGCGTGGGATTGTCAGAAGAAAAACGTTATGCAGGTAAAACTATCAGAGCTGCAATATGGTTGGTATGGTGGAAATGTGTCATGGTTATAGCAGGCAAGAAAGCACAGTGTTGAATATGAACTAATTAAATACAAGGAAGAGAATTCAGCCTGTAAGAAGCTGGAAGTTTCTGCTGGAAAGAACAAGAAGAGAGTGAAGGAAAAGGAAAGGTATGAAAAGCATGAGAGACACCATTTTCCTGGCAGCCTATATACCAAGTCCTGCAATAGGGTCAAGCTGCCTTTTGATAGCACTGCTTTCTGTGCCACTCCTGCCCTGCTTGCAACCAGAATGCGCAGATGCAGGGACTGTCAGCTCTGTGACACCCATTCTTGGCTAGAAGCAACCTTACATTCTTTCTCTGTCAAAAAGCCCTCGGTAAGAATGTTTTGAGGTTTCCATTTCATTTCATACAATGGGAAAGCAGTCAAAGTAGCTGATGAGGCAGCATGACTGCAGGACTAGAAAGAGAGCAGTGTCTTATTTTTCAGTAGTGACTTTTCCTGATCCCTTAGCCTCTCAGAGCTGAACCCTCCACAAACTGCCTTCTAGCGCTCCTGTTTTCTCGAGCAATTTCTGTCTTAATACCTACTTGCTAGGAAAAAAAAGTGAAGCGACTGGAATAAGTCTTTGCTGTCCTAGCAAGGTAAACTCCTAAAGCAACAGAACATCCCACAAAGAGGATGGCATGGTGCTTTTCAGACTTTTGTCTGCCCCACTAACTGTGTACATTCACATACAATATAGGTGTTGCTTCTGTGCCATCCCTAGCAGTAGCTGCAGGACATGCTGGATAAAGCAGTAAGGGAATGGCTACAGCTTGCAGCATCTCGGAGCAAAAGAAAAAGGCAGCAACCCCATCATACTCAGGGCAGGGCTGAATTAGTTTAGCCTGTATAGTTGCTCAGGAAGCTTGTTGGGGTTGGGGTTTTTTCTTCTTTTCACCTCAAAATGAGAAACCATTTTTTCCTACACAGTAGGCAAGAATATCACCCAGATCAGATGAATCTTAGCCAATATTAGCATCCTGCAGGGAACTACCTTCAAGTCCTGGCTGGGTACAGAGACCACTGAGAAACAGCAGCATTCAAAGCAAAGTAACTCTGTATGTTGCTATGAGAGAAAACGAGAGAACCAACCCTAACAAATATTTCTAGACAAATGTACAAATAAAAGCAGACCTATATTTTACGGAGCAAGGCCCTGAGTTACATTTCATCATATTAGATATATGTAAGATAAGCACTGAGTGTTACGGGGCTTTACAAGTGCAGATAGGAAGAAACGCATATAAAAGCTCGTGTAGGTGTGTGTGCGCATACGTGCATGCGCTCACCATGCACTGTCACCAGTGGGTTGGACTGTGTCAGATGTGCTCCTGCATCTCTGAGGAAGTTAATGGAGGAGCAGTGTCTTGGTACCTGGGTTGGTGAGGCCATCCTTTCAGGAGGAAAAGGTTGTGAGAACTTGTGCCACCTCTGTAGGCAAGCAACATTAGTTAGCTGTGCTGTCAGTTTGTATCATTTAAAAAAAAAAAAAAAGTCTCACAGCACTGAAAATAAGTGTGAGGTGTACATTGCCATCTTGAGATGCTTTTTCCTAAAAAGTGGCTGCATTATTGCCTCTTTAGGGGAGAAGGGACACATATCCGTAATGGTCAAATCCAAATCCAAACTCCTCCAGCCCAAAGAACAGAACTGGCAGCTATCAGTGCCAGGCTGAGTATAAAAGACGTTTTAGCTGCTCCCAGTTACAACGTGGAGGCACAGCCTGCCTTGAGAGTCTGCATTGGGGTTTGGGTGTCTCCCAAAGGCCAGCCCCACATTACTGAAGGGGAAGGTGGACATGAGCTACCTGCTAGAGCTCTACAGGCCCCCTGATTATCACAGAGGCAGCATCAAAGCCAAAGTGTCCCAAACTCTGGACTTGGTATACTGGAACGGTGCTATGCTGACAACATTCTTCTTGTACGCTGCTCTAGGAATTTGGAGCGTCCTTCAGGGTGCAGTTCCAGCGACTGCGTTGTAATGTGACCACCCCACAGCTTCTGTGGCATAGGTGGGCTTTTCAGTTCATTCACGCAAGATAATCTTGTCAGTCGTCTTGAGCAGATTTTTTTTCTTCCTGCTCTCATCCCCTCTCAGAGAGCCAAAGGGTCACTGCAATAAGCATTGCTGTAGAGAACAGGGGGGACTGCGGTGCAGAATATACAGGATAGGAAACCTGGGGGGACACAAAGGAAAGCTTTTATTTATTTATTTATTTAGTTATTTATCCCTTCTTAATCCTAAATACAAGTGAGAATGATGCAGAGCCAAGAGACAAACGGATCACCTGCTACAGGCCACAAGAGGGCTTCTATTACAGCAGAGACAAAGAGGGTGCTGCGTGCCTGTTCAGCGCTAGACAGCTCAAGACAGGCGCTACTAAGAGTTACAGACTGCCTCAACGCTTGCATACTGGGAAGGCCTTTGGAGTGCATAGAAGGTGCCCTCCTGCTGTGAAGCAAGAATGACTAATGAACATACTACTCTATTTAAGCAGCAATAGGACATGGCTCAGCGCATCACACAGTTATGAGATTACAGTCAGCCACTAAGGAAGCAATATGCTTTTCTAATGCACAGCTTCTATCTCTGTTCACAGAGAGCAACCATCCCAGGCCCTGGAGCTAGGAAACATCAGTCACTTAACCAAAAAAAAAAAAAAAAAAAAGAGGCAAACTTTTATAAGAAAGAGGAATACAGCAGAATGGATTTATTCAGTAGGTGAACTCCCACCAGGGAGCAGTACTGACCAAACCGCCCCCAGAATTCATGCTAACCAAGGTTTTAGTATCTGTTCCAGATAGGGCCTTCCCCAGAGGAAAATATGAGTGGGTGGTCAGGTTTGGAAATGAGAAGAGTGGCCTGAATGATATTTTCCCCTTCTTTCAGTCTCAAGAATTTCAAGCCTTTAGATTACTACAACACACAGCTTGAGAAATTCATGACTTCTAGGGCTCTACAGCTGTTACTGTAATGTATCCCCCTGGCAATTCAGCATGCTGTGGTGAGAGCAGGAAATACAGTCACCTGGATAATAATATCAGTGGTAACAATTAGCTGATAATCTTTCCTCCAACCTGTTGACTAGAAAAATGTCTTTTTGGAGGACACAACCCTGGACACAGCTGAGCTTTCAAGCCAAAATGAATATAATGTTTTTGTAGTCATAAACCCATGGCAAGCCATGCTTTTTCCCAGCAGTTCTTATACCATGCTTCACAACATATCATATCACAAATAACTCCTTCTAAAACATTGGAATGCTTCCTGGGCAAGTCTTAGCTGGGAAACTTTTCCTCCTTCCAACCCTCCAGCTGCTGAAGAGAAGGAGAATACCTCAGAAGTGGACTGGCATTGACAATCTTATTTGGAAAGCTGGAGTTGTTCTCTTGTTCTTCATCTCTCCCTCACTACCGTTTGGTCAATCCTTCTTTGTTTCCCTAAGCACAGATGTCCCCATCTTTATTCATCAGATTAGGCATATGGCTCACAGGCCATTCCCTGGAAATAACCTCTAGGGGAGGAAGCCACTTGTAGGACCCACAAGTTAGAAGCTACTCATTTATGAATCCAACGGGGCAGGAAGACTGCCCAGAAGACTGCCCAGTTCTTAAGTTGGAGGCCCATAAAATGAGCACAAGGGCAGTGGCAGGGGATGTCGCTGCAAATCCTGATGGATGGGATGACCTTGCTGCAAACCCACCTCTCTGATATTAACCAGTTTCTTTATACAATTTCAGAAGAGACCTAGTCAAATTCATCTAATAGTCTTTTTCTTTCTCCTCGCTCTCTCGCTCTCTCACTCTCTCCATCCCCATTTAGACCCTGAAAAGTTACGCTAATGAAGGAAATGAAAGCCATGAAAACTTGTGCAGGACCCATTCAATGAAGAAAGCTGATCAACAGCCCAGGAAATCAAGTCCTCTAACATTTTTTCACTAGATTCATTTCTAAAAATGAGAAAGAATCAAAATAATATAATGCCCTACAAACAACAGGAGCATCATTCCCCTAGCTCCTGGCTGAGAAACACCATGTCTCTGAGTTGGCAACAGCCAACAGCTACAGCTTTGACCCTAAAGAACAGTGCACGTTCATATCAAAAGGCATACCTAACTTTGTGAGCTAGCATTGCGTAAGAATTTAATAATATTTGAGAATATATTTTGCCAAGAGAAGAATGGTGAAGAAAGCTACCTGCAAATATGGTCTGGTTATACAGATGACGTTTCAGATGTCACTTTAGAAATTTCAGCTGTCTTCATACTTTCTTTCACATCTTCTTCCTCTGAATTTTGAGACATACAACAGTGAGAACAGACTGAAAGAGAAAATCCCTCATTAATACCTGGAAGGCTAAAACATGTAAAAGTACTGGATCCAAATGTCTTCTTCAAGAAAGTAAAATGTAATTGAGAGTGAGGAGGGAGGAGAGAAGAACTCGTTATAGGAGAATAGATGCAAAGCAATTTTTTAGGACTACTTCTATTTTTCTTGGCAAGACTGCTCTTGCAGGGCATCTGAATAGAGCTATCCCGTAGCAATAGCCTGACCTGATAGAAATCTCTTTTAAATATATGATATCTATACAATGTTATATACATAAAACATTCTTATTAGCACAGACCTGGAACCTCAGTCTGGCACAAAGGCAAGTCAACACATGCTGAGACAAGGTCAGAAAGGAAGTAATGGTAAAAGTTAACATGTCACTAAATGCAACTTGCATGCCAAATAAGTAGAAGAACACAAGAGTTAGCATAAAGAACCAACAAACTCTTTCTGTGCTTGAAAACAAGTCTCTCTAGTATTTCAGCGTCTATGAATGACATGTTTTTATAAATCTGAGTCTCTCTGCCCTACTATGGCAAGTTGTGCTTGCAGAAACTTCACACCAAGCCACTTAAGCTGTTCTTTATACTACCTCTAATCTTGATCCTTTGGGTTAGATTAATTGGTAAAAGATCTAGGGAAAAAAAATTCTGGAGATTTTTCCATTCTTAAATTACTGCAAAGATAAAACAAATTAGGCTGCGAGCTCCTCAAAGGAGGGAGCGTGAACCTCACCAGAGTACTTATCTATTTTGGTCACCACCACTAGCCTGCATCGGAGAACCCTTATTTCCGTTTTACTGTCTTCCTGTTCTTCCATCCCATACTTCAGTTCCTTGAAGCATGGCTTTTTGAGCTAAGAAACTAAACTCTTAGCATTAAGGTAGCTCCCAGTCCAGATTTCCTTATGTCAGAGCAACAGAGGCACTCTGGGAACTGTTCTGAGCTCCTGCAATGTCTCTTGAAAGTTGATCCGTAGTAACACCAGCAGGAAGCATTCTCAGGACAGATGTTTCCCCTCCCAGACAAGTGATAATGCGTAGCAGCACTGAAGCATAACAACTGTTTAAACTGGGAAGTTGTTTTGAAATGCCAGCTTCAGTTTCTTACAGGTTGGGTCTGGTCTGAAAAGTGACTGTGCAAAATAACACCATCCAAACTCAGCAAATCTGCTCCCTGCGCATATTAGGAAAATGGAACTGAAAGGGAAATTCCAGGTTATGCAGCCAAGCCCTGCCCTGCTCTTGCGGGTAATCACATTGTACCACATTGGTGGTACAATGCTTTTTTACACCTCCCTTCGATCCTGGTAGGGAACCTTTTAATTTCCAGCCTGTATTTATTTAGAGCCAGATCTTTGGACTTCAGTTCATTCTCTCCCTTAGTTAGGAGTTCATTATCTACACAGCTAACAGCATAGGCGGAGTTCAGTTGTGATTTGCTTGTTTTCAGCCTGGTTCCTGCCTTCCCATCAACATAGCCCTGGAGAACTGCATGGGAGAACCAACACTGGTGTCATGGGAGGACATGAGTGGAAAATGGGGAGGTGCACAGGTGTAACTGAGAGAGAGTCACTGCCTTCCAGAAACTTCCTTTTTTTGTGCTTGAGCACAAAAGAAAAAGAGCCCAGTCCAACTCAGTGGTCACACTGTTTTTTATGGGAGTGTGGCTGGTGAGGAGAGGAAAAGAAAAACACCACTACCTCCACGCTTCTCACTTGTGAGTGACCCTACTTAAAACTGAAATAGAGAGAGCAGAAGACACAAGTACGACAAACTCACAAGTGTCCCTAAGTGAACTGAGTCCCTGCTGCCTAACAAATTACCTCTTTCTAAAGGTGGATACAGGTGCGACCATGATGAGCTACGATACTTAAACTAGTGGCTTTTGGTTTAAATGGAGTTAACATAGACCATTCTCAGTGTGGGATTCTTGATTCCAAACGTCACTTCCCCTGTGACCTGACAGCACCTGGTGGGTGATATTTATAATGTGTTGCAAAACTCACTGTCTTTCTCCAGGACTACTTTTCAAAGCTACTCAATGGGTGCAGATGGGACACCAGCTGATGTTGACTTTTAGTACCGGCTGGATGCCTCACTGCCTTTTTAGTTCCACTAGATGTCTGCCACATCTCTAGGGGCTTTCTGGCTAGGTCAGCCTAGACGTGATTAGGAGCAACAGATAACAGATGAGATTTAGAGCCACAAAAAAAAAAAAAAAAAGATCTCAGCTACCA